AACTTGAAAGTGAAATATAGCAATTTACTTGGGGGACGGGAAGTTGTTACTAATTTTAAGTCCAATTAATTTCCCCAAATCAAACCAAAGGTAAGAAAATGAGACAGTTGTATACAAACAAAATTATGTATTTCCCAAAATAATGACAACACATAATGAAAACGAAAAACATTTAATGGACAAAAAAACAATAAAATCAAAAGGCATTAAAAGCATTACAAAGTGCAAACAGCAAAAAGATACAGCGCTATTAACTTAGTGGTGCTTATAAAACTAGGCAACGACACATGAAAATGTCTCCCTCTATTCTCACTTAGTAAGCTGGCCACTGCTCAGTTACTTTAAATTGCCTTTCTTCCCAGTTCATGAAGTCTTATTTGCTACTCCTGTTGACTGTGCAACCTGATCAAAAATATTTGGAAAACTGCCTGTTTTCTATGTGCTGACAGTGCATTTTACTGAAGCATATGCAGAAAGAATTTCTGTATATCCACACCACAGCAAGACAGTTCTATCAGGATAGAATCTACATCAAATCTAAACACATTTCTCTCCGAACACCTGGACACAGAACTCTTCTAACCGAAAGCCTCGTGTCGAGGAACGGATGGGAGCTAGAAGTGTGGGTAAAGAGCTTACAGTTAGCAACACAGGTTCTGCTAGGCAGGTTATAAGGGAGAACTTGTGCTTAGCTCCCAGGACATAAGGATTGTGGGATACAAACCCCAGAGCTCAATCTACCAAGACCATAATAGCTTCCTCAAGGCAATAATAGGTACTAAGGTTGCTCTCTCATACTTAATCCCCACAACAAACTATGAGGTAGAAAAGGTGGGTGTGTGTTATAGGAGAAAAACTGAGGATTAAGAACTTCAAGACTGGGTCTCATGTGGGAGGGAGGTGCATACAGAGACTCTTTATCCAAGAGGCACTAATTAGTGGATGGCAATCGAGGCTGGCTATCAGAAATAGTTCACACACTGACTGCAACTTCTGAGAAAGCCAAGGAACATTTTGTTTTCTATTGGTTTTAAGAGGGGGGAAGGAAAAAAGACCAGAGTGGATATTTTATAATTGAAAAGTTAAAAAAAAAAAAAAAAAGAGGCAAAATCTACAGGGATAATCTTTCTGTATGAAGAGGGAGGGCTGACCTGAGACAAAGCAAAGCTAAACACCCCCACCCCTATCACAACACAAAAGAAACCTCAACTACAAGCCACTGATTTATGCTGAACAGTAGCTCTGTCATCACAACCCCCTTTCCTCACTGCCTGAACTCACCATCTAATCCACAACTCAAATACTCCTCACCTCAGGACTGGCAGAAAAAGGGGTCTTATCTAAAGAGTATCCAAGTGGTGACACAGAAGACCTCGGGTATAAAAACAACATCGAAAATCAAACTAAGAAGTCATAAAAAAGGAAGGAGGAAGAGGAAATAAATGTCTATTGACATTAGGGTACTTGCTGTTTAAAAAAATGCCTCTGATATGAATAAATAAAAAAATGTCTCTGGATAAGAAATTAAATGTTCTGATAAGCTTGTATCAAGTGTTATGACAATGTCAATTTTCAGTAAAGCATTTGCCAAAATTATAGCAACTAACTCTAAGAAAGGAATTGCTCTAATAACACCTCTTGGCCCTTTTAAGTTATCACTGACCTCTTCACCTTAAGAAGAAATGGGAAGTTCTCAGGCTAGGGTGTTAGATCAAGAGGACAGTTTAAGAAAAAAAAAAAAAAAAAGGAGATGTTCTACTAGCTGTGCTGTATTCCCAGAAGACATTAAACGAGGACCCTTCATGAAAGCAGCCTTATGGGTTTCAGATATGCTACCAAGAAATATTAAACACCTCTTTCTGCAGATTTGCAGTCATTCAAAAGGCTACTGGTGAAGGTTCAGTGATTACTCCATCTTTTTAACAGTGCCACATTCTCCAATAATGGCATTAGATAAGATTGCACGTTCATTACATCAAAAGACCTAAAATGCTTACAGGACATTCTCCCACAGGAGAAAAGAACTGATGGCTCCAATAGAAGAAGCAGATAGCAGCGGCAGACAATATGGAGAGCTCTGCCAACAGAAAGAACATCTCAAAACAATCAGGAAAACTCCCCAAACTAAATATAGGGAGATACTTGAACCACTGTCTCAGATACTCATTTCTAGTTTAGCCTTAAGGGCCTCAATATTTCTCCTATGCTAAACTGCAGCTGGCCTACTCACAAATCTGAGAAATTTCAGCAAAGTAACCTCACCATTTGTTATGGCAGTGTGCAAAATTCCAGACATTTGTAAACACGTACATTTCACTTTTGGCACAGGGGAGAGCTTGCAAGTTCCCTTATCTTTTAAGTGCAGATTCAAAACACAGCTAGCGCCTAATCTACAACCAGTTTTAGCAAAAGTAGCATGTCTTGATAAGTGTGTGTGTGTATACACACATGTACACTCATGTGTGGGAGGAACCATCAAAATTAATTCTTCTCTAGGATACTGGTCTAAATAATTTAGGCACATAAAGGACTAACTGCAAAACAAGGATTCACAGTATCTAAAGCCATATACTCAGAAATTCACATCGTTCTGTGGGGAAGGGTGAAGGGAGGAGTGGCAAGGGGATAACAACATCAACAAAGAAACAGCTTGTTAGCAAGTTTTCTCCTTTCAAAGTGAACCAAGAAGGTAACATTACAATAGCACTGTAAAAGTCAACAACATTCACCCAATTCTCACTGACTTTTCAAAGAAGCCAACATTGCATTGCATTGATACAAAAAAATGTTACAAATGATTCTGACCTTTAAAAATAAATTCTTTCAAACCAAGTAACAACCCACACAGTATTACATACATCCAAATATACCTAAATTATAACTAAAGCACAACAATCTTGTTACACCTGGCAGTGACTTAATATTATCTCATGCAAGTCTGTGATAGTTTAGAGGGTAGCTTAGCTGGATTCCAATACATTATTCCGGCCTATAATTGGAAACCTATGATGTCCTTAAAATGGGCTGGGAAGAAATGGTAATACCAGTTAAAGGCTTGGTGTAAATTTTTAGTCTGTGTTAAGTACTACATACAAAGACATACCAATTACTGTTAAGAACAATGGAAGGAGATAGAGTTAATAACAGGAAATTTTTTCCCATAATTTAGGAATTGTTTTTCTAATGATCTATCTTCTCTGCTCTGAATTTTCTGTCAAATAAATCACAATGATAAATATTAACTTAAATGATAACTAAAATAAGAAATTCAAAGCTAATTTGGTAAGACTCATTATTCAGTCTATGGCATGATGCAACAAAAAATACTGAACTCCAATGATACTTTAAAAGATCGTTCCTCACAATCAAGATTTCAACTCAAGCATAGCTTATCAACAATTAGGTTGACCATAGTTTTAAAGTCCAAATGATGGTATTTGAAAGTGAAAGGGGAGAAATGGAGAGTAATCAGATAGTATGCTGACAAACAGGGACAAACTGGCGTAGTCTCTAGAAAACCAGGGCATTTGGCCCCATGACAACAAAACGATGGGTATGTCTTATACTAGTAAACTCAAGCTTTCACATACAAACATGCCTCACTTCAGTGACCTAATTAAAAAATCTGTACCTTGGTGGCAATGAGAAAAAACAGATTAACATGTTTACCTTAAGTTTCCTTCAGGGAAACATGATCCTCTAGTCTTCTGAGGACAGCACTTAGTGCTAAGGAGGGCAGTGGAAACACTCAGCTGAACCAAAAAAAGAAGCAAAGCTGAGTAGCCTACTGGGATTCTGTGCTGGATAAGGATGTACCAAATTAGCAACTCTTATCTACAAACATAAATAAAATGTTTTCATTTTTCTTATGTAAAATTAAAAAAAAAAAAAAACCTGCTAGCTTATATAAGGGGATCAGTGTATAATCGCAGATCCCACATTCTCCATGACTCTAGTTTATCACTTACAAAAGCACTTGACAGGCAAAAATGAAGCAAAACTGGAATGCTATCAAACTATTATGAAGAATACTGATGGGAGAGAAATTAACTTCCTAAAATCTCAGAGTATTCACTGTCTCCTAACAAGACCAGCTCTACAAAGGACAAGCTTTGCTCACGGGGTAGAACTCTCACCCTACATGCCGGGGGCCAGACTTAAACTTCATTCCCCAGAAAAACAGTGTGAAAAGTGGCCAGGTTCCTCTCTTATCTCTCAGCTTGTTCTCACAGTAGGAGAATGCTTGATTAGCTAAACCTGGTGTTTACAACAGGGCCTTTTTGGAATAAATGTTAGAAGACTCTATTCTCTCTAAAATCTCCTTTTGGCTATAAAGCCATTTATTAGAAAACCTGCATTTTAAGGTTATTAGTCATTCCAAATTCAACAAGCACCACCAGTTAAAGTATTTAACAAACTATGAGAAGGTACCAAGTATTTTTAAAACATTTACTAGTCAAGAGGCTGATTCTAGCATCAGCTCTATCACTAGCTGTGACATTTGGCTTCATGTGCAAAGTTAAGAGGGACTGAATACAAAACTTGCATCAGAGCCTCCTGGAGTATTTGTTCAAATGGCCCAAATCTCAGAGATCAGTCTCTGGGGATTGGAGCACTTTCAACAAGCAATCCAGGTGATTCTTTCAACCCATCAAGTTCAACAATTCTAGGGCCCTGGTCTTCAAAATGGTATTTTCATATTACCAGGACTATCCCAGGATTTAAGTTACATGACACTGGGTTAAGCGACACAAACAGCTATAAGGAAATCAATTTGAAAACCTGCAATTTCTATTATTTGTCCTAAAATTGATGGGGGCCAAAGATGACTAAAGAGAATTAAAGACATTTGTGTCTCTTTAATTACTTCCCTTTTAAACAACCATAGTCCTTATTCTCTCATTCATTCAAATCTTACTGTGGGTCACTGGCTCACAGTGTGAACAACTCCAGGGGCATAAAGAGCCAAAAAAAAAAAAAAAAAAAAAAAAAAACCCGAACAAAACAGGAGGACCTCCAAGAGGCAATGAGGGCCAAGAAAGCAAGGTAAAGAAAGCTCTGGTTTAAAATTCTGTACCTTCTCTTTTTAGAATGGGATCACTGGGAAATGCTGCGCCAGAGATGTACACTCATATATTTACTTGAACTAAAATTAAGACATTTTCTAACTAAAAATTTAGTCTGATTTGGCTGATTAATTTGAAAATGAGAACAGGCTTTGCCAGTTTGTATGACAGGACTTTTTCCACAATCAGCTAAATCTATAGCTCCAACACTGATAAAAATATTTTTAAAGCACATATAGAACACACAGTATATTGGATGGTAGATCCCTTGTAAGTACTTAAATTTTAAAAATTTAGATGTTAGATTAAAGATGTGCAAATGGAATGCTAATCTAGGGTGACAGCCATAAAATGGGTGAAGGACTGCCTGGAAGTGGGTGCAGTGGAACACTCTGGAGTGACGGGAATATCCTATAACTTGTTTGGAGTGACAATTCAGATTTCTGTAACTCCTGCAAGGAAATACTTCATTATATGTTAATTATACCTGCAATTTTTAAATGTGCAAAAAGTTATACACACTTTCTCAAAAATATTTCAGGGATAAGTTATCAAAAAATGTTAACTATTGTACTAAGGCATACCCTAAATGAAATCCTTATAAAGACTTTTCTTAAGCCAGGCATGTGGTATGCACCTATATCAGCTACTCAGAAGACTAAGGCAAGAGGATTAAGAGTTTGAGGCCTACCTGAGCAACACAGAGAGACTGTCTCTTATAATAGTAAGGGTAGCTCAAACCCCTTTGTTTTGGTTTCTCTGAACTAGGCGACCTGACTTCAACAGAAAATGATCAAACCAGCACTTTAAAAGTTGACTAATCAGATTATTTGTTGTTGTGGTGTTAGTCTTTGTGCTTTCCTAATAACTACCTTAGATTTTGATGCTCCACTAACTGTCTTGGATTTTGTGAGAAGATCATAAAGCAGAAGGGTAGAGAATAAAATTAACTAAAGAAAGGATTAATCTTCAGACAAGTTGTTCAGTGAATGGATGAATACATTTTTGTATACACTGAACTTGTTCCCTCTCAGATCTTCATCTTTGGATGGAGAATGAAGTGTTTTATATATTTTTTTCATGTTAATGAAGTCCCCAAATTGATTATCTAGTTCTCAAATCCCACTTAAGTTTAAAAGCAAAAATGACCCAAAACATAGATGTTTACATGAATAAATGCACACACATGGTCCACACTTAGTAAAGAGATGTTGAAGCTCGGTATTGGTTTCTTTGTTTTTTTGAGATGGGCCTTGCACTTGTGATTCTCCTGCCTGTCTCATGAGAATACTGATGTTTTGATAAATGGTCTAGTCCTCCAAATATTTCTTTGCAATTGATTCAGCTATGCTATAAAAACTTTAATAACCAACTGAATTTCTTTCTTGCAAATAGGGCATGAAGCCCCAGCCTTTTTGAGTCTTCTGGCACAGTGAAAGCAAGTGGTAAGATGGCTTGTCCTCCCGTGAATAATGTTCCCGTCTCGTGGTCTTTTCCCACATAAACTACACGGCTTCAAGATATTCTGGCAATCTTCCATGTTCTCTTTATCTGTTCTCTGCTCAGAAAGGTTATCTGATGAGATGGTTTCTTGGCTTTCAGAACTGTGAGCCAAATCCAAGAACTCCACCGAGTTGCAGGGGTTAAAAAGTTTAGAATTTTCTTCCTTTATATATACATCTTTAGGTCTAACAACTGGAGCCGAAATGGTTCTTCGGCAGTCAGGAACATCAATTCCTTCATTTTCCTTCTTTTCAGGTATGGCAGTGATATCAGATGTAGAGAAAGAATGAGTTAACTTAGAACAATCTGAATACCAATCTTTCCTCAAGGCCCAACAACGAAAACAGTACCTCTTGCTTGGAGAGTTAAATTTCTTACATTCAGTACACTGCCACTCATCCTACAAAGAGATAAGTAATAGTCACTCAACGGTGAACCTGACGTGGACAAAAAAGAGAAGGCCAGTCAAATTATCATTTCACTAAGCTAGTGATGGTCCAGGCATTCCAAACCAGTGGTCCAGCCATCTGTGGAACAAATTCTACAGCCACATAAAAGAAAGCCTTTGGAAGTTTTATGCCAACAGTGCCACAATTGCCATTTTTAAGCCAAAATCTGAAATAGCTATCTTTCAAGGATATTAGTTATTTTGGCTTTCTAACCGGGCTGGGTGAAATTTACATTGTTTAGTTTTCCTTGTTGCCTTCTTCCTTTGTCTGGCAAGAGACTAATGAATGAAAAAGACAATTATTCTTTTTTTCCCTACAAATTAACAAATATTATAAAACTTGGTGACAAAGAAGCTAAAACTAAAATGTGATTTTTAAAACTACTCAGTTTTATTACTTCTCACTGATTTCAGGACTACAGATAGCTAACTGTATGCCTAAAATTGCACCTTTCTAAAAAATAAGTGTTCTTGTCCTTGAATGCCAAGTAATTTTCCCCCTACTTCTCTCTATTCAAATTAAGAGAACTAGAGCTTAATGAATTTTAAGGTAGCTACCTGAAACAAGTCACAAATATTTAATGTGGGTAACTGCCTGGCTCTGACAGGATCTCAATGATTGGACATAGGCAGACTTGATTTCTTTCAGGATAAAGACCAAGCACTTCAAGTTTAAAAGTCGTAACTCAACTGTCTATACTGCGAAACAGGGACATGACCATTTGTTAAACTGAGATGTTCTCCAAAGAGCCACAAAATATGTTTAAGATCCTTGACTCTCATCTACAATGCTATACAAATACTCAAAAGAACGTCACAAAGACTTGGAACTCATAATTGATGGCATGTGAGTTTAACTGGCATCAGTTTTTCTTTTTTATAGTACATAAAATAATTGGTCTTATTAAATTCAATGGCATATTTGATTTGATGAAATATAGTCTATGTGCTTAATAGCTTTTCTGTGTTCAAGTAGCCACAGAAGTCCAATTAAGATGGAAACATTTATCTCTGCTATCTGTCTTATGATCAAAAACATTTACTGGACCAATATGTTCTACTTTATTACTTAGCTATGCATAAACAGACAATCTGCAGTGAATTACCGTAATGGTCAACAGCAGTACAGATGGAGAAGGGGAGGATCTACACCCTTTCCCCAAGCAGCAACGTGTAAAATCTCTTTCTTATCCTAACTCCTCCCACCTTTTTCCCAGAGTGACTTAACTGAAGGAAGTACTTCAAGAAAAACTGGATAAATAATGTAAAAAGAGGTATGTCTAAACTTAAGTTGTCAATTAGTAACAAATTCATATCTATTACCTAAGAGCTAAATAACAAATCTTTTCTGTGTAGAAATTAAGCTCTTTTCCATTTGCTTCTCTTTAAGAAAACACTGACAAAATTATTTCTGTACTTGACAAAGAATTTTAGATCTCTGTCCTTGGGATTAGAGAGTGTTTAGTGGGGAAAAAGGAGGCAGGACTACTTTGAACAAAATATGTATCTCCACTGTATCATGGCCCAAGAGTTTGATGGCAGGGATGGAGGCATTTAGATCTTTTCCACGGTAAGGAAAGGATTAAATCAAATTATCCTTTTCCTTCTCAAATTCCAATAGAAAACCCCTAACAAAATGAACCCAAATCTGTTAGCAACTAGGAAAAGTAAACAGAAATGGAGGAAAAATGGTACTCTTGAACACAAGATATCATCTAAACATGTGGTAGTACAAAAGAGCTTTGACTGGATGTTCATACCTCAGAGGTAACTTCTACATCAGTATCATCACTTAAGGACTTAGAGTCCTCAAGGTCATCATTTTTTCCTGCTTCAATCATCTGTGAAGGCAAAGACATCTCATTAGCAAGGTTTACCTGTTTTAGATGAGGCTATTACCTGAAAGCAAAGACATAATAGAGTCAATTTAAAACTCACATTCTGCCTCCATCACTAGCACTTAAAAAGGAGAGAGCTTAAATGTGGGACCAAAAAAAATTATTTACACACCTGGCTAACATTTTAGTAGCACAAATAATTGAAAAGCACCCAGAGAGTTACCAATTTCCATCTATATTCAGAAGGGAGAGGTGTCCAAATCTATGACTTTAAAGAAAATATTAGGGTAGAAAAGCTATAAATTATTAAACAAAGAATTTTTTTTTATCTTGGGAAACTAGGTAGATGTGAAGAAAGGAAAACAAATCATTTTATTTCTCACATTCAAGAATAAAATTAGTTATGTGATACTCCAGTTGCTTTATAAAAACCTGCGCACAGTCCAGGAAACGAAGTCAGGAAATGTGGGGAGTATCTAAATTTTAAAATCAAGAATTTAAAATCCTAAAACTTAAAAACCCTGGTTTTGTGGTTCAGTAAATAGTAATAGGAAGCAATTATCAGCATCTGTATGACAACTTTCTCACAGAAGTTCAAGTATGTTAAGCCCAACTATCTATGTAAGTTTCCAAATGTCACTGGCAGTCCTTCCCATGCTACCCGTAAGTAGTGTAGAATATCCGAGCAACTATTTATATCAAACAACCTAAATTTCTAAAAAAATTCCATAAATTAATGAATGAGTTGACTCAATGTAGGCCTCGGATTTGTTTCTTTCTTATATTTAGTCAGTGGATGTTACTGAAAATCTTCTATCTATTGAGCACTATCTCTATTGGCCAATTTCTTTTGAGACTTGAACAGGCTGTCTGTATGACTATATTTTGGTGTGCTCACACCAAAAATTCTAACTCCTCAGAACTTTTCACCTATTTTAACTCTAAAATAGATAGAAAAAATTCATCTTTCTTCTAACTTAGTTATAAAATTATGAAAGCTACTGACACTTAAGAAACTAGGATTTTTTTTTCCCTATAGGAGAAAATATTACGACCATTTAGAACTTTGCCTTATTAGCAAAGCAAGATTTGTAGAAGAAAAAATTTCATAATGGGAAACTAAAAAAGCAGAGCGGGGGGAAAAAAGTGGCTTATTGCTTCTAATGAAATTGGAGCTTCACCATGAAATTCTACCTTATTTCTAAGGCAGTCTTGATTTAATGTGAATCTTAAAATTAAGAGTTAGGAAATATTAAAAATTAACAAGGGGGAAATTATGTGAGCAATGTATTGTACAAACAGATACAAAAACCTGAACAGATTGTACTATGAACACATAAATATAATCAACATGAAAATTTTCCAGAACGTACCTTTTTGTCACTCACTTTCCCTACTTCTTCACTTGCTTGTTCACAATCAGCAGCTTCAACTTTTATTCCAACACCTAACTGCTCTGAGACTGACTCATTTAAAAACCACAAATCGTCTGTAGTATCTGAAACAATGGCAGTACCTATATCCTAATAGAGAGAAACAAACACGAGCTTCTGTAATCAGTGGCATATTCAGAGATACTGAGCCAACACAAATGAACCGAAAACTTAATATGTTCACATTACATCTCCAAAGAACACCTCACCTTTCCTCAACAGACATGAATTCATTCAACCTGTCTCTACTTAGCACCTACTGTGGTTAAACAGACAATACAAACATATACAAAAAAATGCCAAGTGCAATGACGAATACAAATTAAGTAAGATAAAGGAGCGGAGTAGCCAGGGAAGAAGATATTTTAATTAGGGTTAAGTTTTGAAAGGCCACTATTTATACATCACCAGCTACAAAACAAAAAGTGAATACATTCCTTTGGACTTATACAACATGACAACCTTGGTGGCCAGACATAATTTCTGTAAAAAAAAAAAATCACATTTAAGCCAAGTCCTAAATCATGAGAAGGAAATGAAAGGATTTGGGAAGAGTGTTCCATAAAAAGGAAAGAACAAATTTAAGTTGCCTGCGAGAGTAAAGAATCTGGGGCTACAGAGTCAGAAAGAAGCCTTGTGTGTGGAATACAGGCACTGAACAATGAAGGTGAACTCACAGGAGGTAAGGCAAGCCATGGCTTTGGCAAAGAGTTCCAATTTTATTCTACTTGCTTTCTGAAGCCACTGAAGAATCATAAACACAGCAGTGATGTA